CATTTAAAGTAATCATGAAAGCGACGTAACCTTTCCTCTTTGACACTATACCACTTCTCCCCTATCTCAGATCTTATATTTTTGTCGAAGGAATTCTTATTTACTACCAACAACAACACGAGATGTGTTTCTCGCTCTTCTGTTTCGTGTGGTAGTTTGTTGTTTTTTAATGCGATCTTTTCCAACCATGCGTTTTACCATCTTTTTTTATATACACAAGAGCGTACCTCAAGTTATTTGAAAAATCGTTTGAGAAAAGATCGCTCCCAATGCTATTTTGTATAAAGAAATACATATAAAGGTCGTTTAAACCAAGTGCAAGGTTTGAAGCAAATGCGGTCGGAGGTTTTTTTTTTCTTCCTTCCGAAAACCGTCATTTACCATGTTTTTATGGCTGGCATTTCATTCCATCGGAGCACAAAACACTACTTTAAGAATATAAATAAATAGTATCTTTTTCTTCATGATGTGATATATCGCTTAGTTTTCCTTGAAGGATTTTTTTTCCTATATAGGCTGGAGTCTGTGTGGTGATCCATAAATTTGATTGAAGGCGGTGATCCATAGTAATGTATAAAGTTGATATGCAGGATTTCCTTTCATTTTAACGAAATGGATATAATTATTGCATCAGAAATAAATATATGCATACCCGATAGCAAATATTTTTCATTTGATCTCTTCATTATAGTATGTCACAGACACCACATAAATATATAAGTTACTGGCAATGCTGGAAATTCCGTTATTGTCTACAGTGTCTGGCGCTTTAAGGTAAAGTATGAAAGATGAGAAATATTTTATACTTTGCCTAAGAATTGTATAAAATGACAAATTCTTTTTAGGCAAAGTATGAAATATGAGAATAACGAAGAAAAAAACAGTGTTTTGCTTTTTCGTCGTTTTCTTTTTCAAAAAAAAAATGTCTTTTGCCTTACAAAAAAGTATGGTGTTTTGGGGATTTTTTGGGATTGACAGATGTAGAAATTGCACCTGAGGTGGAAAATGAGGGAGAAATGCTTTGCACCAAAAATAACCTCATCAATAAACCACAATTTCAATCTCAATTACACCTCAGATCTTCAACCTCTTATATAGTAATAGTTTTAGTTTCAATCGAGGGAAATTATTAATTCCTCAAATATACTTATTTGCTTGTAGTAGGGAAAAAGAATAACCTGTACCCCTCAAAGCTGGTTGGTTCCAAGGTAGATTTTTATCAAACTCAAAACAACCTGAAGTATAAATAAAACAACTTCATTCACCTTGATTATAAGCCTTGGTAGGATACTTTTTTAAAGTTGTTTTTGAAGCCAACTTCCAATAAACTTCAAATCAGACTTAACACTTCAAATCAACGTCAATTACATTTCAAAAGCATCTTAAATTTTTGTAAGAGAGAAACATCAGTGCAGAAAATTCTAGACAATGTTCTCTAAACTTAAAAAAACAACGGTGTAGGAAATACCTGGAGCGAAAGTACGGTCATATACCTATATTGAGCAATGCACAGTTATCGATTTATGATTTGCATTGATTTATGATTCACATTCAGTAAAAATATTTTTTGGCTTTGAAACTAATCCCAATAACTAAAAATTTTTTGATATTCGAAATAGTTATTGCGCCTGATAAATGGAATACTTATATAGATTGTACATTTTGAACATTGAATAACAGAAAACGAACTAAATTTTTTGCCTTTTCAATTAAAGTTGATGAGATTTCATAACAACAATTAATTTTATGACATACAAAATTTACTGTACAAAGAATGTAAGAGGCATATTTTTGTGACATCAATCTATCTCTAAAGGGATTCAGAACGCTAAACTTTCCTAACTATGAGTCTTTTGTTACTTGAAAAAGTAATGCAATTAATTATCCTTCAAATAAGAAAAAAAATATGTTTTTTATCTCAATTAAATTGCTTTTTTCCCATGTTAAATATCAAGTGCTGCTGAAACTATGGAGGATGTTTTTTCCATCACCATTTCTACATTTTTTTTTCTTCATATATTTCTTAAAACTCAGTTAAAAAATGCGCATGAAATTTGTTTTATAAAGTTATTTTATTTAATTTGTCATTAGCAAACATTTTCAAAAAACACTTTCAGATTTTATTTCATAACTTGCTTATAATTTTATTTCGAAAAAAATTAAGAGGTTTTAATTTCAGATTTTTTTTTTTTGGAGTTTACTTTAAGCAAAAAGTATTTAGGATAAACGTAAATATGTCCCTTTTTATTCAAAATAAACCAAACAATTTTATATCTAGAAGAAATATTCTCCGTTACATTAAAAGATAAAAACATCAGTTTTTTATGTTTTTAAAGTTTTAAATTATTAAAAAAAAATTTTAATTATTAAATTTAAAAAAATTATTTTGAAGAGATTTTTATATTCTTTAACCTTTACAATAAAAAGCTTCCAAATAAACTAGCACTTTTTTACAAAAAAAAGTACCAAAACTGTTTCCTAGGTGCTAATTTACAATCCAGCAGCCTTTATCAATTCGCTCTCTTTTTTGGAGATTTTCCTCTTGGTTGCAGTTTGTCGCAATAACAAATAACGCTTTTATTACTTCTAAAATTTATTACCTGTGCAAAAAAAAAGAATCAAATTTTCTCCTTATTTAAGAAAATTCCAAACAGAGAAATGGGTTATTAAAAGCCAGTGAATTGGAAAATCGCATACCGGGATTCCTTAAAATTGTTTTAAAAACAGGCGTTATTCCTACAATCGATATACCAAAATATAATGATCGTCTTAACTTAAATGTAAGAAATGAACAATATAAACACAATTTATTTTAAAAATGAAAACGCCATGGTGGGACAGGATATAAAACATTCACCTCCAAATAGGTAAACCTGGTTCGAATCCCAGCGGTGGCTAGTATTCGGTAGGTAGGTCCCAGCTGTGATAGCAGAATTTTTCCAAATTCTGCTACCGGCTCGCACCAACCAAAGTGCTGACGTAAAACATCCTCAATAATAAACGAATCATGGGTTAGAATCGCTTTGTCGATAGGCTAACCGCGGGAAGTTATCGTAGTTTTTCTTTCCATATAACGCAAATGCAGGTGCGTTCCATCAAAAAAGTTCTCCACGAAAGCTAGCTCGTCAGAACTTTTAATCGAAGAGTCCCTTGTCTTCTGGGTTGGGCTCAAAATTTTAAAGTAACAGAGTAGAACATTGACAGTCCTGATCTCAAAATTGGGTGACTATTCAACGCTGGTTATAAAATAAAATTGACGCAAAGATGAGTTTTGAAACAATAGCCTTTTTATCTGAAACGCTAAATTTAATTATTAAACCAAAATGCGTGCATTTGGCATCGAAACAAAACACTGACTTATTTACATCTGAACAAATCAACAAAATAATGATTTAGAAGTCATTTAAAATGAAATAGATTATTAAGATTTTTCACGCTTGAGGAAAGTCACTAATTATAGATATAAATGAACTACATTTCAAGCTTTAAACAAATAATTTACAACCAGCAAAGGATTCACTTCAGTTTTCTCTTATGCTAACTCCTTCTCAAAACTTCACCCAAAAATTTTCGACGGATATATTTGTTAATAGAAAGTGAGTACAAATGCCTTCTTTCAAAACGAAAAAGTATATTAAATACTTTTATGCTAATGATTCCATTATTTATGGAAAATGAAAAGACTTTAACGCATCGTTGGGAAAATTTGAAGAAATTTTTGATTTTTCATTATGGGAATACTTTAGAGAATCTTAAATCTTGAAGATATTTCTTTGAAATCTTTTCAGCACAATTTTATAATTTTAGTTTTGAATATTCAATTCGTGCTTAAAGTAAATAGCCTTTATTTACTTTCATTTAATTTATAAATTATTCATCACAGTGATTAGAGTTGGCAAGAGTAATTCTCACTTTCGACTTTCAAAATGTGCGTTTTCTTTTAGTCTATAAAATGAAGACAGTATATTTTCTGAAAAATGTCTTATGAATTATTATATTGATTGCATTTGAAACTACCGATTACTAATGATTTGAAGAAAAAAAATTTAAAAAAAGAAAAGTGATTGAAATCAACGGTTTGAGTCGCTTACTGAGGAAACTTGGAGAATTTATTAAATTTTTCGCTAAGTCCTTCATACAAACAGCGCTGCAAACTATGAAAAGTGACTATATCATCAAAACTACCAGAATATGATCAAATTTACCGTGTTTCTAGCTCTATTGTAACACCAAAAGACTGTATAATTTTTACGGAAGTGTTTTGGTAATAATTTTGGTAAAATTAACAATAAAATATGATTTTACAATAAGTGATAAAATATGTTAAGTGTGATAAAATAAAGTTATTTTATCATGATACCTTAGAGCTGACAATTAAAACCATTTATTTAGTTAAATTTACTTTTCAGTTTTAAATTTTTCACTAAATGTGTGATAATAAGAATGATAATTTTGAAAACCAGAATTTCAGGTAAACCGTTACATTGTAAATGGAAAAATTAGTTTTTTTCTCCGTGTATAAAGCAACGTTTTAAAACAATCAACATATGCTTCAACAATGTGGCGTAGTCGATATGAAACTTATGCTTGCTTAATAAGACTCACATGCCACAAAAAAACAGTGTTTTTGCGCTTTTTCTAGTTAACAGCATCAGTTGGTAAAATTTGTAGCTAATTTTAAAACTTGCTGAGAATAAACTTCCTAGTATCTTAATCAGAAAGGATTTGTCAGGACATCGGATATTTCTAGTAGATTTTATCTGTGTGCAATTTAAATTACAATGCAAATCACAAAGTCACATCTGATGACTCAAAAAATTACAGACTCTTCATTTCGAGTCTAAGTCGTTATGTATTACACCGCTTAGTGTGCATTTCGAACTAATTTGGTTTTTAAAAAAAATTAAACTTTTAGATGAGATAAATTTTTAAATTTTAAAGTAGAAATTATTTACGTGTTCCATTCAAATCTTCACTATTTTAATTCAATACAGTAGATATAAACTTTTATCAATTTACTTTATTACAAGATACTTTGAATATACAATGCTTTTTATTAATACCAATACTTCTGAAAGGTAAGAAAGAAATTAACACTGTAATCAATTAAAATTTGCACACAAAAATTTAAACAATAATTTAAAAGTTTAAGTTATAAAGGTATAGTATTATCAAAGATAGAGCTATTAATAAGTTTTATCAAAGTACTAATATTAGTTTTAAGCATTATTTCAACACGGTTTACTTCTTATGCTGGTTCAATTTCAGCTACTTTCCTGGACATAAGTCTGATTTTAGTTTTTTCATACATTTCTGTAATAAAGAATAATATCTTTGAATACGCATTTCACATGTTACTAATTTTAAAATTTTAAATTAATTTAAAAATTATGAAATTATGAATCGCCGCATGGCATGCCTTAAAAAAATGACATTTTCAATATTTCTCAAAGAAGATTTCTATTATTGAATGGTATTTAATATACAGCTTTATTCACAATACATATATTTAAGTTTAAATAATAATATTAGTACAAAAAGTTATTATTTATGTACTAATATTAATAAATTAATGCATAAAGTTAAGTTTTAAAGAACTATCAGGTGTCTAAAAAATAACCAACAATTCAAGAAAATTATGAAAATAATAATAGAAAGTATAGAAATGTACTGTTCACTGCATGCTTCTCTGCAAACTAAGTTATTTATCAAATTAAATCTCAAAATTAGTTTCAAAATTCATCAACAGGTGGTGGGGTAATATAAAAATACAATATAAGTAGGTTTTCTTCCTTATATCATGTCATTACAACGTAAATATTTATTATATTTAATAACTAGGTATGATATGCGTAATTGAAGAACACGGAACAAGTTTTCATCTACAGTAATTTCTAAGTGGGTAATGCGTTATTGAAAAGTATGGAATTAAGTTTCGTTGACTGTTTTCTAGGTGTTATATGCATTATTGAGGAATATGGAAATAATTTTCATCAACTGTGGCTCCTAGGTGGGTTATGTGTTATTGGGGAATATGGAACTGGTCTTCATCAACTGTAATTTCTAGGAGGGTAATGCGTTATTGAATAGTATGGAATTAAGTTTAGTTGAATGTTTTCTAGGTGTTATATGCGTTGTTGAGGAATATTGAGGAATAGTTTTCATCAACTGTGGTTTCTAGGTGGGTTATGCGTTGCTGAGGAATATGGAACTAGTCTTCATCAAGTGCGATTTCTAGGTGGGTAATGCGTTATTGAAAGTATGGAATTTTTCGTTGACTGTTTTCTAAGTGTTATATGCGTTATTGAGGAATATGGAAATAGTTTTCGTCACGTGTGGCTTCTAGGTGGGTAATGTGCTATAATGGAATATGGAACTAGTTTTGATTAACTGTGGTTTCTAGGTGCGCTATGCGTTAGGTGCTTTATAAACGAGAGCACTTAATAAGGCATTAAGCTACAGTTTTAGAATCAAATAGTTACATGTTATGATACAATATTAAAATTTAAAACGGAAATTAATTAAATGAACGATTTAGTGAATGCTTGAAATTCTACTTACTTCGTAGATTATAAAATCTTGTTCATGTTCTTTAAAATCCTGTATTAAACATTATTTTCATTAAAATAACGTAAGTAATTATATTTTTCCATTTAATGATGCATATTATTTACATTATATATGTTATTCTATTCACAATAAATGCAATGAATTTATTCAGACTACTAAACTCGTGCTGCAATACAAAATGCATTTTTAATATGACCTTAAGTTTTAGTTATGTTAAAAATTATTGTTCTACGAGAAATAAAGGAACCTCATTTTCTTCAAGAAAAAATGGTTTATTAATGAAAAGTTTTGAGAATTATTTCTTTTATAAATATAAAATTTTTTGAATGAATTTTTTTGTGTTTTGAATACATTTTCAATAACAACTTAAAATTTGTTGAATTGATTAATTTTAGCTCCATTTTTTAATTTTTATAGAAATTAGTAATTCAGAATTTAAATGAGGATTAACGGTCAAAATTCTTAATCAAAATTTTGAAAAAGTCTTTCGCAGCGGGAAATATTAATTGTTTAAGCTTTAATTATACTTTAAAAATAGGGCTTCAAAACTACTGAAAAATTTCTGAGTTTTTCGATTATATTGAAATAAAATCTTTTTCTCTTTTTCTGGAAAAATGTTCTTCTACTTTTAGTGTTTATGCTTTTTTTTTACTTTTTACGAATTAAATTTAGTAAGTGAACAGTTTCTTATTACAACATTGTTCATTTTCTCCGCAATAAGAAATTTTTTTTTATTTTTTGTTAATTTTTACCTTTATTCTGCTTCAAACATGTGAAAGCATAATATTAAAGCAGGTAAAAATAACTTAAAAATCATAGAGAGGATAAATGTTAATAGTGACGACCAAGTGAAATCATTTTCTAAAATATTTTCATTTCTTTTATGTATTCTAAATACATTTTTGAATGAAATAAAAAAAATATCGCATTTAGCAAAAATAAGAGCATGCATAAATAATGCATAAATGCATAAATAAATTATTGAATATAAAAAATTAAGCAAAAATTTGAAACCTGTACTCTTTATTTCGCAAATTTAAAAAGTCTCATTTTTTTTAAACTTTTAGGGTGTACTAAACAACGAGAACAAATTTTGTGGCAGTTAAAACTATTATCTGAAAAATTTGCACACGTTTTTCTTTCGTTTTTCTTGCAATCGAAAGATTCAAAAATCATGGCAAGAGAAGGAAATTTCTACACGCTGAAAAATTGAATTATTTGTAAGAAAAATACCTATTAAGTGAAAAAAATTCCGAATCAATACATGGAAAAAAGTATTGGTCCCCGAATGCATCATTCACAAAATCCATTTTACCATGAAATCCATTTTACTGTAAATTTTTACACCTTAAATTTCACTCCAATATTTATTTAAATACATTTAGTTACAGCAATCCAATAGTTTTTATAGTAAATACTACTGTAAAATTTACAACATATCAGATTCCTTGTTCCATAAAATTTTACTGGAAAAAATACTGGCCCCCAAAGTTCCGGTATTTTTGATCGTAATTTGATCCGGAATTTCTAACATTGCATAGATAATTTTTAAAAAAAACTTACCTCAGGAGAAAAGGGAATGTCACAGTTTAATATCTATAAAATAAGATTTAAAAAAATTTAATAGTAATATTATATCCCACACATCAATCAAAGAGATTTAACGAACTTTCATGCAGTGCGATTGCTTATATTAGCTATTGATTTACTCCCAATTTCAAAAAAAGAAAAAGCTTTATGTTTACAGACAATTCATCACCCCTTCTTCTCTAGTAATTGTGCATAGGATACAAATTTACACTCTAGCTTAGTTATAGTGTATATTTGTTACTACTTACTATTGTTATTGCATTACTACTACCTAATATTAATTAAACTGTTAGCCACTTTTGGTCACCTTCTGCACCACAGTGCAAAATATGCTTTTGAATATCCTTAATTACTTTTTCCAAATAAACTGGCTATGTATATTTATTGTTCTCGATAGTATCTTTCAAAATATGTAAATGTAAAATACAAGGTCATCGTTAAATTAAAGCAAGAGAGAGAGGGGGGGACGTTATTCTAAATATTCTACAGATTTTTTTTCTTCAAAATTTTATAAATACAATTCTACAATGAATATTTTCAAAAAATTAAATAAGTATTACACCTTTGTTTGCTTTTCAATTTTGGAAAAAATATTTGTTTCCTTTGCTTAATTTACAATAGCAAATTTTCATCATTATCCAAATCGCTTCTATGCAGTTTAAACAACACTAAAAGTAAATTTTGACCATTTTCGTCAAAGACAAATGTACAATATTAAATTACCTCTCTCTCTTTCTCTCTATCCAAACTAATTTCTTACATAATTTTATTATTTTGAAATTTTTAGAGAAAATGCAAAGAAGTCATAAACGTAATCAAGAGCTGTATGTATTATGCTCCGAATAAAACTACTCCAGAAAAACAACGATGACTAAGAAAACAAATTTTATTTAACACAGATTACAAGATATGTTGAAAATGGCCTCTATAAACTCCTATGGAATGTGTGAGCGCTAATCTGTACTGGCGTGCTTAACAAAATCATCGAATACATTAATCAACATTTGTGAGGAAAGGTTTTTGATCTCTCTTTTAATTTTCGCTTCAAATTTGGCGATGGATGTCTGGCAGTTTGCGCTCTCAACAGTTTTTAAATATCTACATAGAAAATAATCCAGAGGTGATAAGTCCGTACATCATAGAAGTCATAGTTTTTTTTTTTTGAAAATTAGGTAGTCTTCTGAAAACACTTTAAGGAAAGACATGGTTGTCGCAGATGTGTGAACACAGACTTCATCCTGCTGTAACTAACATCATCTTTGTGCGGGTTCTACCAGTCTAACCTTTGGCAACAGATTTCTGCACGCCGTGGACCTATTTCCTTGATTTTTGTGGATTACGTTTTATTTGGGCATACTGTATAACAATCTATAACTAAGCAATGCTTAACTTAAAGATTTTTATAAAGGTATTATGTTATCGAAGGATGCTTAGTCAAATAAAGTATGCAATGGTAAAAAATCATTAACAAGATAAAAATCAAAGTTTATCCTAAAATCCAAAAATACGAAGGAAAAAACCCTTTAAACATTATTTCACAACACTTCCGTTACTTTTGTCATTTCTTCATTGTTTCTCTATTGATTTAATAATCTCGGCCTGAAAACTTGTAAATAATGGTAAAGCATAATCCTTATCTTTTTTGTGAAATCTTTATCTTTTTTCCCTCAAAGTATCAAAAAGAACATAACTCTTTTAATGAAAGCTACTCTACAAAAAATATATGGCGAAAACGATTTTAAAATGTATCTGTTAAAAAATCTAATATTGTTTTTTACTCATTTAGTAGTACAGAAGTTAATAATTGCATAGTAAATATTTGCTAGCTGATTGATAATTAACCATTATAATTTCTCATAAATATTCAAATTTTCATAATCAATGATTTGTTAGTAATACAATTCTTATCAGAATTACTCAAGAATCCCATTTTTTCTCCCAGAGTAGATTTGATGATATTTCAGTTACCTTCAATAATTGCCAAGTTACAAACTCCAATCAATTTCTCTTATTAAATGGGAGCTAAAAAATTTTTTTGAACTTACTTGAAGTACTTGTTTCATAGGAGGAAATATTGCACCGTCTGATGGGCAATTGAATCCATCTCCACCATTTTCAGCTTCACAAGATTTAAGGTCGTCATAAAACTAAATGTTTGTGTTAAAGAAAATGGGAAATATTAATTATCCATCACATTTTAAAATAAAAATTTTAAATGAATTGCGCATCTATAATGAATCGATATATATATATATAACATAAAAAGCTTCAATTTATCTTTTTATGTTAGTT